GAGGTAACAGGAAGGTTGAAGGAAGGGAGAGAGAGAGAGAGAGAGAGAGAGAGAGAGAGAGAGAGAGAGAGAGAGACTGATAAAGAAGTAGAGGCTTCCCTAGTATTCCCAAAGCAGGATGCAAAAGTCAGCAGTGAGAGGTAAAGGTTTATAGACTGATAGCATCTGCTGATTCATTTGCAGAAACAGTCCAGTCTTCATATTGTCCTGGCAGAGAAATGAACTGCTGACTTACACAAGATAGTTTTAGTATTAAGATGAGAATCCAGGTTTCTTGACTCCTAGTTAGATGACTTCTTTCTGTGCCTTGCCAGTTTGACATTGTGGCTTAACTGTGACTGAGACAAATTAGAGGCAAGAAAGAACAGCACCGGGGTCTTTCAGCCAAGAAAACTCTTTGCTGCTACTTCAAAGCATGACTTGTAATGAATCATCATGTTGGAGTTGCATATAAAAAAGGCCTAATCAGACAAACAGTTAATGGTGCTTACTTTCCAGGCCCTAGTTAGATGTCCATTTGGATGTGGCTGTAAAGGTAATAATTGAGGTTGCTGTTTCCAGGGTGATATCTGCTGTTCTCATCCAGAGAAATGAGCCGGAGGATAGGCATGACTTCAGGTGGAAATAGTTTCTGGCTCTGAAAGTGTAGTATCTTTCCTATCAAACTCCCCACTCTAGTAACTAGTAAAAATGGGATATCACTGTCATCTCTGGTCATCTGTGACCTGCAATGAGGAAGCAGTGTTGTGTGGCTTTCAACTTTACAGCTCACACTGCCCATCATCACATGACCTAGGGAACATTGAAATACTCATCTGCAACTCCTATCCCAGTCTAACTGGGAATGCTGAGGATGAGATCTGGGTACTGTATATTTAAAGGACTTCACATGTTCTAATGTGTAGCCAGGGTTGAAATCTACTGTACCACTGAAAAGTGGAACTACATAGTTTTCAGAAATCATGTGCACATGGATATGTTAGGGTAAACTTTGAGATTCCTTTTCATTTTGGAGTGTCTTCCCCAAGGCATAACATTTGTGCAGAATGATGGACAATCTTAACTATGAAAACTGTGTAAAAATACAGTGTTACAATACTTAGAAAAGAACTGATGTTTGATAATAAATGCAGCAAGAACTGGAACTGTGTGAGACCCTGGAATTAATTCCTGTACTGCAAAATCAATCAATAAAAATAAATAGTAACTAGTAACTATTGTTTTACTCACTTTTTCCTTTATCACTATCACTTGCAATTTTAAATTACTACAAATAATGACAACATAGCAGTCACCAGGGTAAGTAGTGGATATGGAAATCAAAGATAATAGTTTCAATCATTACTCTATCACAATCTAACCATATAGGTAATGGGTATGTGGATTTACCATTCTGAGTCCCACTTTCACAAAGTCTCTATTTTTTCTTCTCAGCTTACTATGAACATCATCTAGGAGAATGTTTCAAACAGTATAAATTTGTTAGGGAAAAATCAATTGTTCTTACTCTGATTATTTCTTTCTAATACAATTGTAAAAAAATCAGCCTGATACTAAGGGAGATAGCATGTCCATAAATGTAAGATAGAGCTTACATGGGGAGATAGAAATTCTATCTGTAAACAGGAATAATACTTTACTCATTCCTCTACCAGTATACTGTAGTATCAGAATCCTACCTTTACCCTTAATATTTCTCAGTGGATGATTTTTTAAAAAAATATGTGTCTTAGATTTGAGCTGGATCTTATAAAACTTAATTATGGTGTTTTTATTAATTTTTACTAATTTCATACTTGCATACAATATTATCATATTTATCCCCCTCCTCCCCACAACTCCTCCTAGATCCCTCCATCCTCTCACCCCTTTCAAATTTGTCTCCTCTTTTTTGTTTTTATAAAACCTACTGATTCTGATTTGTGTGGTTCACATACTCCCGAGTATGGGGGGTCATCCACTAGAGTGTGTTTGCCTTACCAGGAGCCATAGTATAAAGAAAACCGACTCCCTTCCATAGCAGCTATCAGCCATCAATATTTCCACAGCTATGTGTGGGTTTACATGCCCATCCTCTCTCCGTCTTGTAATGTTGAGTGGCTTGATCTTATACAGATTTTGTGCATATAACCATAGCTTCTGTGGGCTCATGAGTGCAACAGTCTTGCACTGTCCAAAAGACACTGAGTTGTTCTTATAATCTTTCCATTCTTTCTTCTGCAATGATCCCTGAGCCTTGGGAAAATGAAATGTGAAACCATGGGCACCTATTCTCTGCACTTTAACTAGTTGTGAGTTTCTGTGTTAAATGTTATCCATTGGATAAGTAAACTGCTCTGATGATATCTGACAGCCATGTTAATCTGAGTATTTAGAGGAAACAGATTAGAGGGTAGTTTGATTCTATCAAAGTGATAGAAGTAGGTTTTATACCTTGACCCAATGAACTCTGCAACCATGGATTTGAGGCCGTACTTGTAGTACCCAGATGTGTGCTTCCTCTTGTCGAGATCCTAAATCCAATTTGGTTACTCCTATAACATTCATGCCATTATTGCATCCATGAGCATATCTTTCCAGGCCAGTTGTTAGCATATAGGATTCACAAATAGGTATGGCTGCTGATAACTTTTCCCCTCAGCAGCCTACATATAACCTTCTGGTATTATGAAAGCTAGCCATCAGAGAGAAGGTTTCCTGATTGGTGCTAATTTGATTTCTTCATACTCTGTGTCCAAAGTATGTGGTATCTTCACCAATAGGGTCTTACCATCAAGTTTTCGTGGGTAGCAAAGAGCAATTGCAATAGACTGTGTTGTTTTGGGATCTCCAAGACACTCCTGACCAACAAATTGAGGGGAGGTATCTCACACCTGGCACCAGGCTTTTTATTTGGTAAACTATTCACTGTTTATGGTAACTCCAATTAAATGACTTTATGCATTTAGGAATCTTATAAAATAATAGATCTCCATATTGCCTCTTCAGACATCCTTAGTGTTATATTTCCCTCTTCCTACACACTCTTAAGAAATGGATATAGTGCAGATGATGTGAGCTCAAGACTTCATAGAAGGAAAGAAGCAAACACTTTAACACTTACTTACCCCTTGCTTGTTTTAGACACTGTGTCTATTCTTATAACCACCTTGTGAAAAGACATTGTTATATATCCATTTCCCAAATAAGAAAATGATAGGCAAAGAGATTAAATCGTTGTTCAGATTCTCACTACTTGGAAGTAGAATAATGAAGCCACACATCCAGGTCTTCACAATTTTAGACCCTCTGTACTTTCTCCTATAGCATACGATATAACCTAAAATTAAGATTTGTTTTGATGGGGTGGTGAAGAGGCCAGTTTGATAGAGTAGACTTGGTAGATGATGTGTCATGGTTGTTCCTGTAACAATGATTTGGAGATAGCTTAAAGGAGGTCTTGGACTTATGTTGAGGAGTTTGAACTTTATTCTGTGTGTTTTAGAGCTCCTGAGAAGGACTTGAAGAAAATAAAACTGTAAACTTAAGTAAATCCTATAGCAATCAGTATTATATAGACGGAATTTATTGCTTTTATTTTTACTTTAAACATCTTACAGAAGAATGACAATAAAGATCTCCTAATATTAAGACCTAATGTACTTGCATTACTACACATATGTCTATATTAATATTGTCTTCAATGGGACATGAGCACTTTGTGTGTGGAGTTTTGTTTCCTTCATTTATTGAGACAGAGTCTCACTCTGTAGCTTAGGCTGGCCTGGAACTCACTGTGTAGATCAATGTAGCCTTGAACTAATGTCAATCCTGCTGCTTTAGATTACCCAGTGCTGGAATTACAGATGTGAGCTACCATGCCCAGCTTTACGGATTCATTTTTACTTTATGCTATTTCATACAAATATTTTTATCTTGACCCTGTCAAATTCTTGTCATTTTATATGTAATATGTATTGGATAATTGCTTGTAAGTGTAAATTGTTTGTTTAGCCTTTGTAGTTGTGTCTGAAGTTTTGATATTAGAATATGTTTTGTGCCAACTGGTTTTTCTTACTTTTTATCTTCGATGAATTCCTTTGAGCTTTTTTTTTTCAAAGTGGATTTACTGGATAAACAAGTATGCATTATTGCCTATGCATGATTTTGTGTTTCATCCAGATTGTTCCAGAATGCTTGATAGGTATCTAGATAGAATAAGTTCAATTTATTGTGCCACCAGCAGTATGTGAGTATATCTGTTTTACCTAATCCTGCCAGTACCATTTCATAAAAACTATATGTTTATTTCTTCTGAGTAATCTGTAAGCCAGAAATGTGGAGGTAGGTAGGTAAGTTAGGAGCATACTTTAGTACTGAAAAGGACCTGGATTTTTTTTAGATTTGTTTTAGTTTTAATTATATGTACATATGTGTGTAAATGTGCACATGAGTGCAGTTGTCCACAGAGTCCAGCAGAGATGTTGGATCACCTGGGTGTGGAGTTACAGGTTGTGTTGTAAGTCTCCTGACATGGGTGTTAGGAACCCAACTTGGGCCCTTTGCAAGAGCAGTGAGTATTTTCACCTGGTATTTCTACACTCTCAGGATCTGAATTTTAGTGGTGAAGAATTTGTCAATTTTAACTTCCTCATCAATCACCTATGATATGGCCTCAACTACCTACTATGTGGCTAGTACTGTAGTGAAAATACTAACTTAACCCCTTCAGTTTTTGTAAACTAGTATGTTGCTACACTGAATTATAAAGCCAAGGAAATGTTGGATTAAGAAATTCATAACAAACATAAGGTACATGAAGTTGTACAGTCCAGGTTTAAATGTAGGCTTTCTAAAGGTCAGCAGCCAGAATAATTTTAAACCAAAATAAAGAGTTGTTAGTCAAGAGGAAATGGGAAACAGAGAACATGGCCCAGCCAACCCCAGTTCACCTACTATACTGATGCTTAGTGTTTTATTTGGGTAACTATTTATGTCCTTGCTGTTGCTTTCTCTTCTAGGAGATACTGACTGTTTCAGCAAAGTTCGGCCCCCAGGAGAAAAGCAAACAATCATCCGTCCGCCCGTGAGGCCCCCAGACCCTCCATGCCGGGCCAGTACTTCACAAAAGCCAGAACCAAAGCCAGATACTGTGGCTGGCAATGCAGGGGAAATCCCATCATCGGTGTAAGTAATATTTTCCCTCAACTTTACGAAAGGCCTGTAAAGTGCCGTTGGGGTTACCATCACTGGTTGCACAGAGTTCTGGAACATAATTCTCTTCATAATCTAGAAGACTATCCAATGTTGTCTCTGTGTGGAATATTCCATTCACCACCTAAAACTGAGCTATTTTACTACAGATGCAGACTTTTTCAAAGTCTTACACAGAGACCCATTTTTTTCTTAGCTGTCCTGATGTCTCTAGATTAGAAAAATCACTTTCAGTTTTTTGCTCTAGAAATCTTTCCTTTATTTTGTGTTATTGCTACTGGTTTTAAAGTAATTTAATGAGCACATTTTTGCTTTGTACTTGTGCTTGGAGCTTTTCTTTCTTTTTTTGCAAGAAAAGGATACATTTAAAAAATCTTCCAAAATGACTCAGGTCCTCTAAAGATCCTCTCGTAGGACAGGAGCAGAGCTGACATCCAGTAGTCCCTCTGATGTCTGGGCAGTGAGCTTGGGAGCCAGTGACAAAGTGGATCTAAGGACCCAGCTTTGCTTGGCCATAGCCAGCCTGTCTGACCTCTCCTCTGACCCTCCTCAGACTCTCCTCCTGGACCCTTCTTAGCACATGGCCTCCAGGTCCTCCTTTTTCTTGTGTCTTTTATTTCCCATAATTGCAAAATTAGGGAAAGAACAAAGCTTCCAAAACTTCAGTTAATTAACAAAGCACATTTACAAAGTGCCCTAAACCACACTTTGAAACCAAAGATTGTTTTCATTTATTTTTAAAAAGACTTGTCTGAGTGGGCCACAAACTTTGACCATTCTGGGTCAATAGGTTATAAAGGGTCTTACTTGTTGCCTTTGGGTGCCTATGGCTTTGGAACCGTTTCTCATTCTGATATTCAAGTTTTGCCCTAATTCTTTGGGCCTGTATTGGTGACCTATCTGGTACAGAGTGTCATGTCCTTTCCATTGGTCTTTGGTTCGCACATGTATTTCCCTGAAGCTCATCAGACTTGGTTGGCTTTTATTTGCAGGGTGGCGTCCAGGACCAGATTCTTTGAAACAGCATCCCGGAAAACTGGAAGGTAAGAGACACAGGAGACAGAAGAGAGGGCAAATGACAGTTTTGAATAAATGCACCAAGTGCATCTCATCACCTTCTGCTCTTCCCATCTCTTTCTGTTTCTCTATAGTTTTTTTTATTTTCTCCCCCATCTCTCCTCTCTCTCCCACCTCTTTCTCCTGCACTTATTGTAGATTGGCTTCTGTTTCTCATCTGTGTTCTGTCTTTTTTCTCTTACTTGTTCTTACATGTGTCTCTGCAATTCTCAGTTTCTTTCTGTCACTTTTTGTGTTTCTCTGACTGTGTCTATGCCACCCTTCTTGTTTTTCTTAACTCGTGTCTCATTTCTTATTCATTTTTCCACTTTTGTTTTTCTTTCTCCTTCACAGACATACATGTGCATGTACACTGTTGTATGTACACACATCTTGTCCTAGTTAGGGTTACTATTAATGCGATGAAACGTCATGACTAAAGTACCTTGGGGAAGGAGGGATTTATTTGGTTTACACCTACACATCATAGTCTGTCAATGAAGGAAGTCAGGACAAGAATTCAAACAGGGCAGGATCCTGGAGCCAGAAGTTGATGCAGAGGCCATAGAGGGGTGCTGCTTACTGGCTTGTTCCCCATGACTTGCTCAGCCTGATTTCTTATAGAACCCAGGACCACCAGCTCATAGCTAGTACCTCCCACAAAGGCTGGGCCCTCTCCCATCAATCACTTATTAACAAAATGATCCACAGACTTGCCTGCAACCTGATCTTATGGAGGCATTTTCATATTTCAGGCTCCCCCCTCTCAGATGACTATAGCTTGTGTCAAATTGACATAAAAGTAGCCAGCACATAACTTAAGCTATCTTAAAAAAACTTACACCCAATGAAGGTATTTTTGTTGCTATTTTTCTTATAGATTTAGATTTTCTTTAGATTTCATAGTGTATAAAGTCAGCTGACAAAGGCAAGGTAGAATATAGCATTCTGTTCTCTATGGACTCAGAGTAAGTGTGGCTCCCATTTCAAAGGTAAATAGTTAGTTGGCTTAATCAATAATTATCAAACTGATTATCCATCTAAACCTCTTGAAAAATTGTAAAAAAATAATCACAGATTCCTGGCTTCTACACTCAGTAAAATTGATCTTTTGAGTGGGGCCTGAGAATCCATTATTCCCTCCTTTTGTTGTTCCCCCTCCCTGATTTCCTCTCTGTTCCTCCCTTCTGTTCATCCTTCCTCCCATTTGTTTTTAAAATTTTTCAAATGCTGGTACAAACTGTTCAAGCCCTAGGCATTTGGGAGCATTTGCACAAAAGCACCTGGAGGAATGGTTGCTTAGTCTTCAAGGTGTTTGCTGTGAATTTGTTCCATGTGGCTAATCAGAGATTATTTTAAATTGTGCTTCCTGGCATGGAACAAGTGTTAACTCTTTTAGATGGTCAGTTAAAAGCAGAACAATGCACCTTTACCACTAAGGAGTCCAGGATAGGTTTGACATCTTCTTATAATACCATGGGATCTAATTCACCAGCATGTGATTCCACATGACAAGTTACCATGGTTAGCTTGGCAGCCACAGCCAGCTCTGGGTTCAGCCAAATTCTGTTTAGACAGTAACTCATCATTTATTTTCCTGTAACAAATGAAAGTGAGGTCAAGTCCATGATTTCTTTGACTAGGGGCATGAAGATAAAAAGGTTTTAGATTTGGATCTGGGGATTATAGCTCAGTGCTAAAGTATTTGCACATCATGCTTGAAGACATGGGTTCCATGGAGTGGGGTGGGCCAGAGGGGGAGAGAGAGGTTCTTAATAAAGTTGGCTCCTATGAGTAACACTACCTCTTGGCATCCTTTTTCTCTCCGTAGAATAAAGAAATCATTTGAGAAAGTAACACCAGAAAAGTTGAAGGAAATAAACTACAATGAACAGAAAGAATCAGGCATGTTGAAAAGAAAGCTTTTTGGGAAGAGTTAATATGTGAGCTGGGAGGCTTGATCAAATAGAAATACACAGCAAAATTTGGGGGATTGAACTGTGTCTTAGGCTAGGCTGTCAAGGCATCAAGATGGGAATAATTAAGATGAATAAACAAAATTCAGTAGAATTGTTAGTGCAGGCTAACTTTAAGTAGAAAAACTATTTCCAAACTGATGTAGAGGGCTTAGAAAGATTGGTAACATTACCAGTGGGCTTGGATGTGTCAGCCAGTGCTCAGGGCAGAGCTAGACCAACCAAAAGGCCAGAAGACCTTAGCCAAAGCAGGCACTTCAGCCTGTGCTATGCTATCCACTCATTATCTGGGCTTCTAGAACCTAAACTCAATCCTGTTCTGTGCCCTAAGAATCACATCAAATGGAATGCAGGTAAGACTAAACTACACCTGCCTTCAATAGGCCATCCTGGCTACCAGTAAGTTTTTCTTACTCAGAAGCTGCATAGAAAAAATATTCCTCCCACCTGGAATCCACCACTACCATTAGTGTATACACATGCTAGCCACTGAACAAGATGTTACTTGTCATGTGGCTACTCCTTTATGTGGTGATCATTGTTGTCAACCTCTTCTATCATCTCAAATAAAGAATGCTAAGCTGTTTAATCATTGTCTTGCCTCTTTTAATTTTCCATTTGCATACTTGACTATATCCTGCCATTTTGATAGCATCTGTTCCTCATTCCCTTGCCCTCTTCAACAGTTAAAAAGAAAAACTCAAAGGAAACCTTATTAGAAGTTTGTCAGGAAGACAAGGGAGGAGACAGTATTTCATAAGGCAATACAGCTTCAAACATGATTGGTGTCCCACTTTGTCTATAATGTGAGGGTGAGAAGAAAAATCTTAGCTGAACATAACACCAGGACAATGGATTAGAGCCAGACTGCAAAAGGTTTTGTATGACATATTAAGGTGTTTGCTCTTTGTATTGTAGTCTGCTGGGGGCAGGTCATGGAAGATATTTAAGTGGTGGTGCACATTCTGAGCTGGCTGAGTTGTAAAAAGATCACCCTGGTGGTAAAGATTGGAAGCAAGGAGACCAATTAGGAAACAAATCCTGCTGTCAAGAGTTGATGAAAGTCCTGACCTAAGGTGTTGCTGTGGGAATGGAATACAAGGACATATCTGAGATCAGTTCAAACAGACCCTGCTGACTTTTCACATGTGAGGCATTGTGGAAGTGCTGAGAGAGACAAATCTAACTTGGGTAATTTGGTAGATGGTACAACAATTAATTATAAAGAAACAGGTTTTGTGAGACATTTGCTCTCAATTTCAAACAGTGACTGTGTAGACAATGTACGACATCCAGGTAGAGATGCCCAGTGAGTAACTAGAAGTTAAACTAATTGTCAGGGTGGAGCCTGTGTAGATTTAGTAATATATCTGTTAGGTACAACCACTGTATTACAGAACTTGTGTGTGTGTGTGTGTGTGTGTGTGTGTGTGTGTGTGTGTGTGTGTGTGTAGTAATATGAGTAGTGACACTTTGGAAGAAGATTCCCAATATTTGGAGGTAATTGAAACCAGGAATAGGAACAAGATAATTTAGGCAACTAGTTATAAATATTTTCAAGAGATGGGAGAAAAATAGAAGGCTGTGGATATAGATATGGGTACCAGCTGTTATGTGGGATGCTCTGGCCATATTGTTGGAGATTTATTCTCTATGATTGTCTCTTTCCTCTAGTTTTCAGCTGAGTAAATAAAGCTAATGTAGGACTGACCAACAGACTGAGCAGAGCTGGTTTGGTTTTTTTAAGACAAAGGAGAATTTATCTTTTATATGGTACTTCCCTTGCCTTCTTTCCCTTCTCACCAATAGTGATAATCACAAGATGTAAACTAAGGTCTTGGACCAGCTTCTCTATTATATCTAGTCTCCCATAGTCTAGCACTCAAAAGATTGTTTTAACACCTGAAAGGTGGCTTCATGGATAGAAAACTGGATTCTCTAAACCTTCCCAGCCCAGAAGAATGGAACTAAAACATCTGAGTAGAATAATTTCCTACCAATCAAGTGAGTTTTTTTGGCATTAGCCTTTTTAGTCCTAATTTCAAGGGCTTCATTGAAATGTCTTTTATTTTGCCCACAGTTCTCAAGGAAAACTTCCTGGAGATGAAAGCTGAGGCCACAGGTATGTTGTTTCTACTTTTCATTACAAACCATTCTTCAAATAAGCCCTTTTCATGGCATCTAGGATTTTGAAGACTAGAATACCACACAAGTCCAGAGGGTGGGAACTTACTCCATGCCTAAGTTCACTACCCTAAAATTACATACCCCTTAACCTTATTTCATTTGTGGAGTTTTTGTATGATTTGAAGTTCTCCCCCAATTACATTATTTTAAGATTGTTTTTCAATTGAATTCATTAGAAATCCCAGACTGGATATTTTGGCCAAACACATTTCCTTTTCCAAGTCTCAATTTCTGTTTGTAAAATGAGATGATGGAACTTTCTGACTCTGCCATCCTTTGAGTCTATAAGGAAACCAGCAACCTCCCTTCTGATATAACAAATGTCAAAGTGTCTGTAGTGGGACTTCATCCCTTCAGACCAAGTCACGATTTCAGTTCTTCCCACCTGAACCATCATCTTTGGTCCTTTATTTTAGTGCGCAGAACTTTCATATCCATGATCTCATTTGATCCACATCACATGCCAGAAGTAAGGAGGATACTATGTGTTCTAACTCAACAAACAAAGGAACTTAAGTTCAGAAGGGATAAATGACTTGCTAAGGTCACAGGAGACTTGGGGGTCAGGGAAATGTCTTTCTCTGCGTAGGACTTTTGATTGCTTTGTTATCAGATCTCTGGCATGACATGAACCAATATGTGCATTAATGAGGTCCAAGTATTTGGAGTTTGGCTTGCCATGTGCTTCTTAGCTCTCTATTTTTTTCCTGTCACTGCCAGTCCTCCGAGGCCTAGAGATAGATAAGCCATTCCTTATCAGCCTTAAAAATGAAGGCCGGGTTAGAGGAAGTTTGGAGATACTGAAAAGGACCATAAAGGTAGTGGCTAAGATGCAGGGGAGTAGAGTGGGGCGGCACTCTCAGAAGTTCTAGTATCAGGATTTTGCTTCCCCTGTTGATAGATTTTTAGGGATTAGAGGTGGGGTCAAAGGCACAATTATAGCAGCCTTGAGCCTGTTGCTTGGGATCTGAAGTATAAAGTCCCCTTTTCAGATTAGGTACCAGTTACACGGTAAGTAGCTAAAGAGACTCCACTGTTCAATACCTGTTAAATATTCAACCAGGCCTACCTAACTCCCTACTTTTTTCTTTCCTTTTTTAGGTTTGAAAAGACTTGGCCTTGAGGGACCCTTTTGAGGTTGTAAAAGGGTCTACTTCAAACACTTGTGAGCTATTTGGTGATGAAGAGCAGCTCATTTCTGGCCTTGTACCTTCAGTGTCTGGGAAGCCATAAAATAAGGAGCACATGTCTTATACATGTGTCTGTTTCTCCTTTGTATGCTGTCTTCATCTTCCCAGAATGTCTGTTGTGAGCAGCTCCTAGGACACTGGATGGCTGGATTCTCTCAAGCTCCAAACTCTACTGAAGTGAAAATACCCATTGACCTGTACTGAAGAGGGGAACCTAGATTCTCACACTTCTCTGAACTTATTGTTTCCTCAGAGGTCATTGGACTCTGAATGATTCAGGGCTAAAGACTGTTATTAGGGGTATCTCACCCTGATGGAAAGGTCACTTGAGTTGGGGCCATCGTTTACTGTATTTGGAAGGGGGTAGGGATGTTAGCTGAACATTGGAGAATTGTGTCATGTCTCTTTCTGAGTATATGGACACTGACTAGTACCAGATTGGCATCTTGGTACCATGAGATGTTAATGAAATCTGGTGGGGCCAGACTGCATGAATGATTCCCACCCAGTGTCCTTCCCCGGGATGGGCTTAGGAAGGTAGCCTTTCTGCTTTTGCCTCCAGCCTCTGAGGACAAATCTGCTAAGCATGTTTTGCATGTCAAAGCTTAGGCCTATCTGGATTTTCCTTTTGCCTACTTCACCCAATAGCTTCCTTTCCAGCAATCAACAAATAAAACAAAACAGAAAATGTTTCTGTAAAGGGTCAAATGTTAGGAAAAATTGTTAAGATTGACTGAGTCCAAGGAATTGTTGCCATTGCTTCTTATTTGCCTCTAGCTTAAATGCTCTTTTATTTCCTGCAAAACAAGCAAACAAACACAACTACAAACAAACAAAACCAGATCTTAGTCAAGTGCCTGTGGATTCTGGAACTCCATGATGCCCCCAAGATGACATACACACTTCCATGAGGGTAATGCCTTTTCTGAGCAGATGGTTCATAACATTCTACTGGATTTCAAATGGGATTGCAACCCAATAAAGGTTAAGAACCACAGCCCTTGAGATAAAAGACTCTTTACAGCCCATAAAGGGTTGGATTAGAAGGAACTTTCAAGCGCATTTATACTAACAACAGCTTAGTTTACATGAAGAGCAAGTTAGTGACCACAAGAGGACAAGATCCCAGGTGTCTGAGCTCCTACATAAGGTTCTTTTTAGTACACCACATTTCTCTAGCAAGGGCCTTGTAGGTGGTGGCTTTAATGGCTCTTTTGGGAGGTATTGGCTTTTATCCTCTTTCTCGAGCCTCTCATATTCGCCAGCAAGTAGAAACTTTCAAGATATAAGCCTCTGGTCCTTTCATTACTGGTGGAGTCATTGAAAGTGCACTAACGTAAAAGGCTTGCAGAAGTATGAAATCTGAGGAATAGACATTTTTGAGCCCTGTTTTTCAGAGTGTTGGTGCTTCTGTTTCTGTGCAGATGCCAGGGGCATGGCCTCTGAGGCTTGTGGGGCTCTTATTGATCTCTGGTCTTAGAGTTCTATCCTCTCTGTTAATGAGGGAAAAGCGAGTCTATATGTAGAACTGGGTTGCAGGAGTGGATTAGTAGGGCTTTAGATCCATGAAAGATTATAAAGACAGTTCGAATCTTGTTTGCCTGTGGCAAAATACCCTGGTAAACACTAAAAAATATTAGAGTATTATTGAGAGACAAGGAAAGACATTGCAATCCCAATGGAAGAAGTATCTAGAAACTTGGCACTGTGGTTGCTGTGTTATCTGGGACATAGATGAAAACTCACCTAGGAAAGGTGGGGCCATCAATTTTGGAGGCCAGGGAACAGTTGATGGGGTAGTTCTACTTCTTCATCAACTCCCTTTGGATAAAGAAACAAGTATCTCCCTTTGACAATCTGCTTGAAAGAACAAAATTTCTGTGGTGAAGCATATGTCATGAAATAAGATTGGCGTGGCCTATGCTTGATGCATAGATACTCACTCAAAAGAGGGGATCTCAAGAGGTGACATGTGAGTGGTAACTGGGGGAGATTAGCAGTAACCCTAGCAAGTAGGTGAGAGAACTGTTAAGCCTTGAAGCCATAGTGACAACAAAAGTGCTACCACTTATTAAGCACCCACTGAGTCCTAGGTACCCCTAATAACTAATCTTTCATCCTTATAACAATCAATCAAGTACTCTTTTTTTTTGTACAGATTAAGAAGGGACCCAGTTGTCGTGTTACTGGCTCAAGTACACAGACATAGTGAATACTAGAAGTGTGATTTCCATCCAAACCTCTCTGACTTTGTACCCTGTGCAGTTTTCCCTATGGCATTCAGAGGTAGGCATTTAAACAGAGGGCACATTACTGGAGGTGGGTTAACTCTTGACTCCTGTGTGCCTAACCGATATGGAAAGGTCAGCAGTGAGAGAAGGAAATGGTGCAAGTCCACTTCAGAAGGGAGTGGGTTTTCTTTTCACTTTGAGTTGATCCGATTCATAATAGGTTTTAAAATATCATCTAACCTCACTTTGTGCAGTGAAGATTTGTTCCTGTTGGCCTCTGTGAATTATTTCCCTTAGTCGTTTTCCAAAGAGAAAGGCTCCTTCCAGGTGTTGCTGTGCTTTCATAGTGCACCACTACCTGTCATGTGTACAGTTTCATCCAGAAGGCTGTTGATACCTGCACATGCAGTCTGAGAAGCAGGAAAGTTCTCTGTGCCTCTGTGGAATTTGATGTCCTGGAGTCATACATATCCCTACAAAGTTTTTCTACAGTGAAAGCAAAAATCAGGGGGTCATTTAATAAGAGACTTCATTGAATTTTTATATTTCAAGTCGAAAAAAAGGTGTTATGGAGTATCCAGCTACCACAGGGCAAAATTAAGCATTCGGTTTAAGTAGTGAACTAGTGTCACATAAGAGTACTTCGGAAATAGTGGGCTACAATAGGGAAGCATCTTTCCCTTTTCAAGACGTTCCTCTTTTCTGTATTAACGACAAAAAACTAAAGTAATTCTGCAACTTGCAAAATAATTGCTTTTGAGAGAACATAGATCAGTAAAGCTGTTATTAAAGAAGTAGCAGACAGTTGACCTTGACACATTAGAAGCCTACAAAAGCTTTAGGAACAACAGCAACAGAAAATCCAGAGTGAAGCAAGATAACTTGACCAGATATTGTCAGTGAAGAAAAAAGGCTTCATTTTCATAGGAACATTGCCTATATGAGTTGTGTGTGAAATCAGGGAGAAGCATGAGATCCCTGAGCTTATTCGTGTGATTTTTCAATTAACTGTGTAGATTCTCTTGTATAAATACCTTCCATCTGCAGTCTCATCATGGAAGTAATTTTTCCGCATATCAGGAATGATGATCCACCTACTATCTACCACTTATGTTGTCTTGTAAAAAATCTAAAGACAACTCAGCACAAAATTCTTTTGAACCCAAGAGTCTTAATCTATTCTTCACTTTGCAGCATAGCTTTGCCATTCTCTCAAGTCTCATAGCATCAATAAGTGATAGCTGGCAATTCTGTCTTGTAGATAAGGAAATTTGCGGCCCAGGGAGGGGAAAATGACTTGTCCATCAGAATACACTAAAAAGTGATAAAAATCCAAGTTCATAAACTACAGATAGCTTTCTATTTACCACACTGTCCCAAAGTAGTACTGAAAATGAATCTCGGGGTTAGAGAGATGAATCTCAGCGATTAAGAGTATTTGTATTCAATTCCCAGTACCCTTATGGCAACTCACAACCATCTATAAGTGTATTCCCATGGGATCCAATAACCCCTTCTGGTGTGCAGAAGTACATGCAGACACAATACCCTTACACATAAAATTCATAAATAAAAAATTGCCAAATGGAAATGAACCCCAAATGTGACTGGGGATGTTTAGAAATAGGATTCACGAAAACATAAATTTCAGCATTAGCATTACCTGGAAACTTGTTATAAATGCAGATTCTTAGGATCCACCCTAGACATTTGGAATATGAATCTGTATTTTAACCCCACAAGAGATTTCTATGCATATTAGATTTTTGACAAACACTTGGCTTAGTCTGATCTAATCTGTTGAGAGTCTATAACGTCCTGCTTCTTGCATTGGTCTGCACATGGCCTGTAACTGTGTTGACAAGTGAATGAAGTTCCTCTATGTCCAAGAATAGCAGAGCGAGCCTGGGGAATAAGCAAACTGAAAGTTACTTGGCTGTCAGACCGTGCAACGGAAGCAGTAGAAAGACAGCATGTGGCAGTTGGAAGGAACTTTTCAGGAGCTCTGTGGTCAAGACTTAGCTTTGTTACTTCCTCTCTGAGATGCTGAACATGTCATTCACATTGTCTCCCTTTTGTCTCAAAGGATATTTTCAACTTTTATTCTCAGGCCATCATGTAACTAAAGTGGACAACTCTGCTGGTCTTTGGCCAGTTTAGCATCTTCATTTCACATGAGAAAGGCAACAGTGGGTGGAAATTTTAATCATAGCAAAGCATTATTAACAGAAATTGCAAATACCAGGAGTAGCATAGCTAATTAACTGGCTTGAAATTAGTTAATTTTCAGATTAAAATATAGCAAAGAATGCAGAGTTCTGAGATTCAGCTGCTTCAGGCCACATACTCGATGAATCAACTCATATTGTGGCTAAGGCTTTTCTTGCATGATTTAATAAAAACAAGATTCCTTGTCTCAGGCCTTTTGGGGGAATGGTTTGGCAGTAGGAGGAGAAACTTACAAAGGGGAATTTGCTGCTTCCGATCATCTGCTACCTATCATTAGGTGAGTCTAATTCCCATTATTTTTTTAAAGCATTTACAAACCCACTATATTTTCACTTATATCAAAAGCTATGTTTTTTTTACAAAATTTTCCCTTTACTCAAAATGACAATCATTTTTTAAGTTATAAAATTTTTTTATATTTATTTTTATTTTTTTAATTTTTTTATTAGTTCAAATTAGGTAGCGCAAAGTCCACCAAATCTTCCTGTGCTGGGCCTGGGCCCTTCCCCCATGTGTCCTGGGCCAGAGTGTATCGCTTCACGTGGGATGGGCTCTCAAAGTCCCTTCTTACACCAGGGAAAAATACTAATCCACTATCAGAGGCTCCCTGGAGTGCAGAGGCCTCCTTATTGACATCCATGTTCAGGGGTCTGGATCAGTATTGTACTGGCCTCCCAGATAGCATCTGGAGTTGATGTGCTCTCCCTTGTTCAGGCCAACTGTTCCTGTGGTTTTCTCCAACCTGGTACAGACTCCTTGAATCTTCATTCTTCCCTCTCTTCAACTAAATTCCCGATTTCATCTCAGTGTATATCTGTGGATGTCTGTCTCTGCTTCCATCAGCCATTGGATAAGGGCTCTAGGATGGCATAAAGAGTAGTCATCAATCTCATTTTAGGAGAAGGGCTTTTAGGTTATCCTCTCCACCATTGCCTGGATTGTCAGATCGTGTCATCCTTGTAGGTCTCTGGAGATCTCCCTAGTTCCAGATCTCTTCTTGGACCTATAGTGGCTCCCTCTGATATGGTATCTCTCTCTCCTCTATTCTTCCCCAACTCAATATTTCTGCCCCTCCATTTCCTCTCCTCTACTCCTCTTCTCTTGCTCTTATTGTAGAGAGATGGTTCAGCTAGTAAGAGCACTGGCTGCTCTTCCAAGGGACCTGGATTCAGTTCTCAGCACCCACATGGTGGTTCACAACTGTAAATACAGTTCTGGGGGATCTGACTTCCTCTTCAGGCAAGCATTCAGTGTGCATGCATATGCATGTAAAATATGCATAAAATACATCCAGTTCTTTTTAATTATCAAAAATTTAGCACTTCATCATTCATTTATTGTCACCTCACTGTTTCTGTTGCTAAGATTTCCTATAGAATAGTTGGATTCTTTGAGTGGTTATCATCTGAGATACACAGTTCTCTTTTGAGTTCCATCAAGGTTGTTAGCATAATTTAGTTTCTTCCGTGAAACTGAAGTCTTCAATTTTTTATATTTAAAAGCTTTTGACATACACTATGTTTAGATCATATTCTTC